AGTGGTGTGGAACTGAAGAACAATGGTATGTTCACAATCAACTCCTTCTACAATCACTTAGTTAATGGCAGCGGGGAGGGTGTAAGATTTCTACTCCAACAGATTTGGAAAGTGAATGCACCTCCAAGAATCGTTTTCTATGCTTGGGAAGCTGGTCGAGAATGCATTTTAACCATCAACAAGCTGATGAGAAGGGGTAAAATCATGGCTAATGCTTGCTACATGCGTAAAAGAGTTGCAAAATCTTGTAATCATATCCTTATTTGGTGTCCAGTGGCTTATAATATTTGGACTATAGTTTACGGACTTCTGGGTATCAATTGGGTGCTTGTGAGAACGGTTATGGATGAACTTTGGACTTGGGATGAGATTTGTAAGAAGTCAAAAATTGTAAAGTTTATACCTTTAACTATTTTTTGGGTGGCATGAAAAGAGAAAACAATAAAGCGTTTGATGAGGGTGTGGGAGATTTGTCCAGAAGTAGAGGTACGTAGATTCATACTCTTGGGACTCTAATGCTAAGACATGATCTTTATGGGTGGGTTGATTTTGGAAAGTCATTGAAGTATTAAACTGATTAGTAAATACTTTGTACATGGGTGGCACTTCTTGTCACAAACATAATACACATTATTTTTTTATCTCAAAAAATACTTTGGCTATTTAACTGAATGTATGCTTTGTGACATCCAAACAAATAAAACAGGAACTAGGCAGTCGAGAGTATACATTCACATTAATTGCAAACTTATATAATATGCAATAATGTGCATTAGTACTAGTGAAAGAATAGTAAATATGGTGTGTATGACAAAACAGAATAGTTATTTTTCTAGAAACTGAATGGAAAATATTTTTCATTTTCTCATGAAATGGGTTTTTTGCTCTTAATACTATCCACCTTAGCTTCTTAAATTTTTGCAAAATTGTGGAACATCATAAATTTTTTATTCATTTATCTGCTAATAACTTGAAAAGTTACTCTCCTTGTAGGATTTACGTCATCTCCAATCACTTTATGAACTTTAATTTATATCCCTTTTTCTGGAAATATGGAAATATATATTTTAATGTAACTAAATATGCAAAAGCTCTGCTGAGTCATGCAAAAATATTCTTCTTTGATGTCCGATAGCATATTATCTTTGGATTATAATCTTATGATTTATTAGGGATTAATTGGGTTATTGCAGGGTCGGTGAGAGATGAGATTTGTGCATGATAGGGGATTTATAAAAAGAAAAAAATTGTAAAACCTATTCCAATGACTATTTTTTGAGTGATTTGAAAAGAGAGAAACAATAAAACTTTTGAGGGGATTGAAGGGGAGATATATAAAATTAAAAATAGGTAATTTCATTATTTTAGATTTTTGATTTTGGGCCATGATTTATATAAGATGAAATATTTTAGGAATATTGTCGATATGCTAACAGGTTTGCAAATATTCTGTAAATGGGTGACACCTCCTTGGTGTTGTTGATTTAATATATGTCTTATACTTTTTAATTTAATATATATATAAATATATGTATATACTTTAATCTAGCTAAATGTCTTGTCACGTTGTTTTGGAAAGGTTGAAAGCTGCTAGAGCTAGAAAAATGCTCCAAAAGAGAGCAGCTCAGAAGGAAGAAAAGAAAGCAGCAGCAATAGCCGCTGGACTTGATTGGCACACTGATGATTCAGATGATGAACCTCCGGTAATTGGCAATGTTTATGTCATGACTTCTGATTTTTTGGTATTTAATCTTTTGCTTATTAAGTTCTTATATTGGGAGCTGATCAACTGGCTTATTGTCTGCAGCAAGAACCTCTTAAAGAATCTCCCATGCCAAGCCTTTTAAAAGATGACGAGCATCATTCTTTTATCATTGATGTCAGTGCTTCATTTTCTTTTACATTCGGCTCCTATTTTTCTGAATCTTCTTGGTCATCTTTCAAATATTTTTGCTCTTGGTTGGGCATTGTTCTTAATGACTGTTGACTGAAATTTATCTGCTTATTTCTGTTTTCTACTAGTTCTGGGCTTTCCAATTTACATTTTTTAATATTTTACAGTACTTAATGATCATTGTATTTCTCTAATTGTATCACCACAGTTATGCAAGGCCTTAGCATCTTTGAGAAGGTACGGTGAAGCGCTAGAGATTATTAAACTTGCTCTGAAATTGTCGC